CCTCAGCAAAGCCGCGACCGGGCAGAGGCAGCGCCGAGTCCCGGGACCACGGCGCCCGCGGGTGAGCCGGGGCAGTTGCTGACCCCGTCCTTGCCCCGCTGAGGCTGCGCCGGTGGCTTTTCTTTATAGTCGCCCGAGTTGCGGGCAAGAAACGCACAACGCCGTGAACAATATCCAGTAAATAAATAACGAGGCCTTCCCAGACGGACTGCAGGCCAGGTAAAATAAGCAACTGGGCCAGACGATTTAAATTTTCCAGTAATGACTCGTAGCAATTCACAACACAAGTGAAGGGGTCTTCCTTGAGACCTGGTGTTTAAACCTGCGGAAATAACAGCTCCCCTCAAAACGTACAGCCCTAAATAAAAGAGAACGTAGCTTAAGGATGCTGTGGAAGTGAAAAAGAGATGGACAACGGGTGAGAGTTACTTGGGCAATTTTATTTATATCCCCACGCCCCAGTAACGGGGTTCTGTAGCTCTATTCCTTGCGTAAGGACTTGTCTTTCAGGATTCCCACACCACGCAGGAAGGAATTATGTTTGTTCCGTAATAATAGAATCTGTCCACAAAAGCTGTAAACATTATTTGGAGTCTTTTGTTACTGCCTCTTCCAAACACACACACAATATTTGTATCAAAGAATTTCTAGGTGACCTTTAATGTCTAGTCCCTGAGTCAATCTCATGCTTTTTTTTTGCTTTTTTTTTTTCTTTTTTTAAGCAAAAATACCTCGATGTGAATGTTTTCTGTGACTGATATCTGACAGAACCATCGCACTGCCATACTTCCAGCCCCAACGGAGCCCCTTGCTTAGAAAGTTTCTGAAACATGCCCTGTTAGAATCCCGCAGGGATGTTAAACCTTTGCAAGGTCCGGTTCTTGGTCTGAGGTCCCCCTGCTTTTCCACTGTAGGCAGCACAGAACCTCTGCGGCATCTCGTACGTCTGTGTTTCAACACCCGCGCTGTACGGAGAACACCCGACTGTCTCGCAAGCGCTGGGCACGGGGAGCGTGAACGTCAGGGTGTGCGTTTTTCTCTCCCGCTTGCGTCTTTGCGTCCAGCCCGTAGCACTGAGCACGAGTTGAAAGTAATGCTGCAATCTGTTCGGAGCTGCCAGCTCATTTTAATAGTCTCGCTCAAATGCACAGTATCTCCTTAGCCCGCTTGGCTTCGGGAGTGTAGAGGTGAGCAGGTCCTGTTTTATCATTCAGACTCTTTCAACTAATGCTTTCTTTTGGCTCACGGATAAATCAAGGACAGCAGTAAAACAAGAAAGGAAAATAAATCTTCTGATTGATTGCAGACAGAACAGATTCTTTCAGCTCTCTGCTTTTTACGCTTGAGTTCGGTAATGGCGCATAGCGTTTTTTGCACTTTCCTAGCAAGCTGTCCGCGCTCTCACTCCAAACCGTGCACGTGACATCCAGCAGCGAGGGTCCCGTACGACTGACCCAATGCGGTACTTTTCAGGGCTATCGGTCACTAGTAAATCCAGGCTATTTCACGGAGTTTGTCATTTTCCTTCTGAGATATTCTGAAGGATTTTGATGAGATTCTCCAGGCCAAAAATATAGCCGTGGTCTGGCCCGTCGTAAGTGGTGTGATTGCATTTGGAGCCTTTAAAAGTGGTGTGGGCAAAGTCTATCATCCGGACGTCAACTCTGGAGTGATTAGTGCCGTGTGACGCGGTGCAGTTTGTTTTTTGGAAGTGAAGGTGATTATCCAAGGGTGCCGTGTTCTCCTTGTGCTCCTGTCCATCGTAAATTATGAGAAGTGAGCTGGAGTAGAACCTGTAAGAGCTTTGCTTCCTAATGACAGAAAGCAGAGCTTTTAGCCGCAGGATGATGGGCTCCAGGAGATCCGTTCGGAGGTGGTTACCATTGCACAGGAACTGGCGCAAGGTTTGCCTGAATCCCTCCGGTGAGAGTTTCCTGCCGTAATACTTATCTTTGCAGAGAAAATGGCCAGTGTCCGCTTGGTAAACCTTGAGGAAAGAGAACAACAATCCAGATTCAGTTGTTCGGTTTTCCCAAAGCTCTAGATTTCACCCCAATCTAAAAAGGTCAGACCCAAGCTGAGAAATGGGACACAAATCCGCTGCAGTCTGGCAATATCTAGCAACGCTGGCAATGTACTGCAGGCTTCTCACCGAATCCCACCTCCTGTCTTTTCTGGAGATTTAAACTATTCAATTTAAACCACTAGTGCAGATTCTTGTTGTACTGCTCTAAATTACCCCTTTGTGAAACCCAAATAGCTGTAAGTCATAGCCGTGTCGCTAGTGATTTACAGCATTTTCCCTCTGGCTATGGCAGGAGTTTGCAGCGGTACCGGAATACCCCAGCTTTGTACCGCCTGGCAATACATAACGCACGGCTAGCAATAATCTTGCTTTCTTAAGCAGAGAGAGACAAGATGTAGACAGAAATTTGTGTGTGAGGCTCTGGTAACACTGAGTAAGAAATGAGGGAGTGAATTTAGAATTAGCTCACACGCCAGTTGTAGTTTAAAGGATACTCTGCTCAACAGAAGCATGTCACAGACCAGAAGGGGACACAGGTTTTGACACCGAGTGTTTACGCTGCTATATATGTGTTTTATAATCATCATTGTCATAATTATCCTTCGGGCAGAGCAGAACAACATTTTGAAACCTGCTTGAGAAGTGAGTGAAACAAATGCGTGGTTTCGGTTTCTAGGAGGAAGGGCGGCGATTTTGAGCAAGAGGAACCATAATATTCAGCACAAAATAAACCCCTCGCTCTTGCGGCGACAGGATGAGACAGCTCTGCGAAGGCGTGAGCGGGGCAAGGGATGCTTTGTTGTTTTTCTTTCTTGTGCAGCAGCCAAGAGCTGAGCACGAGAGGGGAATCGGTGTTCACGTACAGGCAGATTCTCAGCTGGGGTGAACTGGTTCCAGCTGCTCACACTGGTGGCAGCGGTGCGGGGTGGTGCTTATGCAGCCACCGCTTGTGAAAGCAGCCGAATCTCCAGAGGTCAAAGAGGGGATATGGGCAAGGGTTACCCTATATGTGCCATATTCTATACTCTTCCCTAAGCATCCTCTCCTGTTTGAGGGCAGGACGCGCAGCCGAGTGTCCACTTCTTACAGCCTGTATATGGAGGGGGACAGGAATGAAACTGCTTCAATTTACACCAACAAAGGAAAGAGTCCCTTTCCATTTCCAGCTTGGTTTCAAGCCGTGTGTCGGGCAAACACCAAAAGGACGGAGGCTCCGTCTTACCTGCATCCCGCAGATGCGAACGCCCAGAGATGCAGAGGTGCTTTGTTCGCACTTCTTGATGTGCCGGGCTTTCTTCTCCTCCGAGGCATCATCGCCATGCTGCCGGGTTCCCATCTTTAAGTCCAGGATGCAGGGATAGTTGTATTTTGATACCACATTTTCGAGCAATAGAAACTCTGAACATGAGTTAAGGGAAACCCAATACTTTTAAATTCTAATTGAAAGAGGTCTTAAATCAGAGCAACTGCTGACGCTCTCCATAATAGCTCACAACTGTAATGAGACTTTCTAAGCCAATTTTACCAACATGTCATTGCTATAGGCCCCTTGCTGCCAATTTCAGTTAATTTACTGTAGTACAGTCTTACCAATTAAAGCACCAACAGCTCCATTCTCTAGTGACACGATAGCCCTGGGCTGTCAGTCCGACACCTTGCCTCAGTGCTGTACTCAATGGGTGTGGGAGAAGTTGTTAAGCTGTATTACTCACATGACTGGTAGGTAATGAAGTGTAATAGGAAAATAAAAGGCGAGGCAGCTGCTCATGCCTATATAGTTGTATTTTTAAATGTATGCCAAGGGGATCCTTGACTTACGCTGAATACCCTTTACGGGAAGTGGTTTTTTTCTTTTTTTAAGAATAGAATAGAATATTTCAGTTGGAAGGGACCTACAATGATCATCCAGTCCAACTGAACAGTGGGAGAAGATAACAGAGCAACTGTATTCTGTGTATTCTGTATTTTCCCAGGGACTGGGCAGAGGAGGGATGCATACCCCCTGCAGTAACACATACATTGATTACGAGCTGTTATTTGTAGCCAAGACTATGCTGGAGGGGAGAGAAGAAAAAGGATACGATGAAGTTTGTTCTCATTATGCTTGGAGGACATGCGGTTCAGGTGCTGCCTGTGACAGTGCAGTCCCCAGGGGTTGTAGCTGTTTCTTTCTGGCTGGTTTCTGTTTGCATCTTCCAAAAGTGAATCTGTGCCGTACTGAAGGTCTGTCCTCAATAGCATCTTCCCCGGGCAGCTAGACAAAACACACAAAAGAACACGTTTGGTTTATAAGCTCCAGAAGAGAATATTCTCTCCCCTCCTCTTTTGTAGAGCCTCAAACTTGATAAGGTAAATTTTCAGGGACTCTCAAAGGAAACATATTCATCATGTCCAACCTGCGGAGATCCTTTGTTACTCTGTAAGAGTAATTTTCAGAAAGCCAGCTATTGCTGGGTGCCAATATTTTCTTTCATTATAATTTCAAAGTGTGCTTGGCTCCTATGAAAAGCACCATTCGTAGCGCCAATGACCAGGAATCTCTATTTATCTACCTAACGGGCACAACACAGGCAAATCGTCCAACAGTAGGAATGAGTCTCAATTTAGAGGGGCTGGCTTTGAGGAGGGGAGGGAGGGAGCGACGAGATTTGTTCTCCTTGGAGCGTCATTCCCTGGTCTCGCTCATCCAAAACCCGTAACTCCCATCACGCTGAGGGCAGCGGTTTCACGGTAGCAATGTTGCACCCTTCAGGCGTAGCTGACCTAGGTCTTTTCTGAACCAGCTGGAGATGAAAGATGCCTTGCGGAAAGCTTCTGCAGGCCCTAAGGTCGCGGTGTGCTTGGAAGCACTGCAGTGCCTTTCAGAGAGAGCTCTCCCCTGGGACGAGGACAGGATCGAACCACCTCGAGGCTGCTACTGCTGGCTGGTTACCAGCAGAAGGCCATTACGTGCTGTGTGCTTGGTGGCTGTTCTCATGGGGCCTCTCCTCCTTTTGGAGCATGCTGCGCTCCGAGGGAACAGGTTTAAAGCAGAGTTTGAGGCACATATTTGAGCAACAGCTTCTCAGCGATAGCCAAATCTGCCCCGCTCCATCCACAAGCCGGGGAGGAGATGAACCATGAAGCCACCAAGCTGCGCTTTGCTTTTCTTCACCTTGGCTGGGTGTCGCTTTTGCTCACTTTGCCTTAAACCAGGAGTTGTGCCACCAAAACCACCCTGGTTTAGACCCTACCCAAAGCGGCCGGTGAGGACCAAGAGGACGTTTGCAGGGAGCAGCAGACCCCCACCTATCTTTGAAGGTCTTGGTGAGCTGCGTGTGACTCCACTTGACGAGCGTGTGCTCGCTGCCGGTGCCGGTGCTGGCAGCCCACTTGCATTTGTGCCATATCGTCACCGAGGAGTCGCCGATGGCGTTATCCAGCCGGCCGCAGCTCTCCGTCTGCAGGCTGGGGCTGGCGATCAGGGTCAGGTTGCCGAGGCTGTCCTTTTTGAGGTGCACGGAAACGATGCCTGGACAATAAGGGGGAAAAACAAACCAGAATGAGATCAACCCGTGGGTTACCATACAGGCTTGGTCACCATCTGCACTAGCCCCATGTGGTCCAGCCTTCCTGAGAGGGCTCGCGCTTAGCAGGACAGCTGCAGCCTTGTATCTTAGTGGCCTCTCACGCTGATCCCACTCTGATTTGAGGCCCAATAAACACCATTAGACTGAGACCCTGGGAAACAGCCACAGACTTTTCTAATGATCCCTCCTCTCAAGGCTCAGCTTGAAACCTGCCTCCTCTGAACATCATGTTCCTTTGTCCTCCATCCCTCCGGGCTCTCCTATGCCGCAAGTGACCCAGCAAAGACCCTGCGTCGGACCCAGAGCTCCTGGCTTATTTATGGCAAGGTCTCACTTTTTAAG